TCAACGAAACGTGTTGCGCCGACCCCAAGTAATTGGGATAAGGGCAGGAAGATGATGTGAGTGTTCTGCAACTTTTCCAACTACAGTCTATACCTATAGTCATTTCAACTTTAAACCTAGACCTTTAGCTCTACAGCCCACTTTAAGACTTTTCCGGTCACAGGTCAGGAAATGTAAGGTTATCATAGTTATATAGGGTGTTAATTGGTTATACGGGGTGTTATGAAGTTTGTTTAAATACAGGGTGTTAGGAAAAGTAGCACGTCCAAAGTTGCAACTTTTCCAGCTACAGCCTATACCTATAGCCATTTCTACTTTAAACCTAGACATAGCTCTATCATCATCTTCCTGCCCTCATCCCAATGACTTGGGGTCGGCGCAACACGTTTTGTTGAACACAAAACCGTGTTGCAAAGGATTTGGCTGAATTTTACAACCGGCCGCCTACCAGACGTCTCCTTGGGAATGCTTTTGCGGTGGATTAGCCGCCACCATACGGTTGGCCCTGGCTGTTTGGGTTGGGTTTATACTTTCTGTTAGATGGCGCTCTCTATCATCATGTAAATCAAATACAGGATGTAAAAAAATCAACTGCAAATATTTTTAGGGGTAAATCAGCCCATGAAACCGAACAACTTTCCCTACAAAACATAGGTCGAAATAAAATAAAAAATTTGGACCTCCCATACAAAATGTATGAGCCGGCCGAGTCAATTTGTATGGGAGGTCCAATTTATTTTCTTCATATGTCGACCTATGTACCTTGGGGAAAGTTGTTCAGTTTCATGACCTGGTTCACCCCTTAAAATATTTGCAGTTGATTTTTTACACCTAATATACAATGGTGGAGTGTGTTTGTGTTGTCAACTGTTTTTAGGGTTTCGTAGTCTACTAGAAACCCTAATAGTTTCGTCATGTCTGTCTGTCTGTCTGTCTGTCTGTCTGTATGCCGCGCCCTCATATCTTCGTCAGTTTTAGAGCTATCGACATGAAATTTGGTGAGAAGATAGATCGTGTTGACCCAAATATAGAAATGTTAAGAAAAAAATATTTTAAATGTTTTTTGGACCCCCTCCCATACAAGTGAAAGGGGGGCAAAAAATTTTTTTTTCTTCTGTAATATTGAGTAGGGTATCGTTGAATAGGTCTTTTAAAATTAAGGTGAGGTTTCTTTGAAACAAATTCTCTTAAATGTTTCTGTCACGAGATATTTGCTTTTAAAGAGGGCGTTTTTGACCCATAATTTGTTCCAGCTGTAACTTCTAAAGTATAAACGCTAAAAATTTGAATTAAATATGGAATATAGCTTACAATCTGAAGTTACAATGAAAACTATAACGGATATCGTACCCTTAAAGGTTTCAGGAAAAATTGAGTTTTTCTATTTGCGGTTGGTCATCATACTGCTGCTAACAAACCAGCAACAAAATTAAGTTTGTAATGCTGAAAAACCTGATATTTAAACGTTGACTACGAAACCCTATTTGTGGGCGTGTCTGAAACGCTCTTGGCCGGTTTTCTTTTCAATAATGTGGCTAATTTTTAGCACACCTTTCAAAGGCTTCACGAAACGAGGTTGCTATAGATTTCGCCAAAAGATTAAATAAGTAGGCACTCTAGGTAGCTCGTTCAACTAAACTAAGCCGGGCCTAGCTTACTAAAGAATAAATTAGGTAGCAAATTTTCCGCGAAGCCTTTCAAAGAGCGTTTGTAAGCAATTTCCCGAACACACAGACAGAAATAGCTTTAGTAATGGTGCAGTAAGGCCGCCATCCCACTGGTAGGGACAGTGGCTTACAGTATAGTGGCAAACTATAGAGTGCGCCTAAAAAGTTTGAACTAGAGATGCCCCGAATATTCGGCAACTATTCGGCCAGGCCGAATATTCGCCCATTTTTTTGATGAATACCTGATTTCAGATAAAACACTTATTAGCAAAAAATCTTTATTTATTTATTATGTACATAAAATTTAGTAAATAAAATTAATAAGGGGCAAATTGTGGTGAATAAAAACGATCTTTTCAGCATTCCTTGGCAAAAGACGGTTCCGTTTGTCTTCATAAACAAGACCTGCCTCCCCGAATATTCGGCAGTGTTTAAGGCCGAATACCGAATATTCGGCTGTTGCCTCACGGCCGAATATTCGGTATTCGACGAAATTAATATTCGCGGCATCTCTAGTTAGAACGGTTTACAGTAGTCTGCACACATCACACAACCTCTCTGTCTGACAGTAGGTACTATTGAACCATTGAACCTCTATAAATTCTCATACATTTGAAGTCTGAGCGGCGAGAGTTTATCGTCTCGTTTAACATGTTTCTTAGAGAAATTTTCTCACATTCCTCTTCTTCTTCATCGAGTCGATAGTAACACATTGAAAAAGGAACGCAGTACGTATACTTTTCAAACTCCCTTTTCTTTGTATATCGTTTCTACTTCCGATTTCCCTATTTCGATATAAATTGTCAATTTCTCTCCCAAAATCGTATCTATTTTGCCATCGCCCGAAGTTAAGTTTCGTGTCACCGCTTATTCGCCTGAAGCTAAATCTCTTCCGCGGTGCACCCGCGTTAGCGACCTACTAACCTTTGAGTTTCCAGTTCAGCATTAATCTACATTGTAAAGGGTGTTTTTGCGCGTGGCTGTGCCGTGTGATGCCGGCTTAGAATAACATCACCCCAATGGTGTCATGGGAGTCGTAAAAAGCGACTAAGGCATAACTATTTTAGGGAATGGGCAGCAGCGTTCCCTATGAATTAAACGTCTTGCACTACGCCCGCCAATCCGCCTACAAAGCGTGGTGAGGATGTCAATACCCCCTGCTGCATAGGGGGAGGCCCATGTCCAGCAGTGGACTGTTGTGGCTGTAAAGGTAAACAGGGTGTTTTACAAAGTCAAAGTCAAAACGTTTTTATATGCATCATGCCTATACCCCTTGCGAGGTAGGCAGAGAGTAAACGGCTGAAAAAACTATCATTCCAACCAAATCTGGCAAAGGTTTGTGAGTCATTCTGATGACTGTGTATCACCATAGTGACAGGTTGACAGCCTGTCGTCTAAAATTGCAATACACATCAACTCTCAAATTCATTAGTCGCTTCTTACGACACCCACGGAAAAGATATGGGGTGATGCTATTCTAAGCCGGCACTACACGGCATAACCTCCCCACTACTTTTCGAGTTTGTAAGCGGTCTTTTGTTTGGCTCTGTATGAAAGCTAAGCGTTGTATGCAGCCTATAATAGTCGTTTGATCAATATCGTAGCTAAGCTATAACTGAGCTACTTATAGATACGTGCCTAGATATACAGGGTGTTTTTAACCGACATCTAAAAAGAGGTTAATTTGTTTCTTAGCTATTATGAGAGTTAGACAGTGCACGAGACTGGGTACCGTATCAATACATACACACACATAGTGTAAAATGTAGCCTCTATGCGTTTCTCTGTCTGTCTGTCGTGGGAATCGCTAACTCCTCCTCAACCACGTAACGGATTTTGATGCGATTTTTTGTAACCAGGTGATTCACGAGGAAGGTTAATAAGTATGATTTAATCGATCTACGCGTCGTCATTTTAAAGTTGTATTTTGCGATAAAAATCCGCCATCTTTAATTTATGAATTTATAATATAGCCAGTGTCACTCGCACCCCTGAGACGAATCTAACGACACCTCATATGTCAAAATCCAACTATTCGTTTGGGCTGTAGCCCGTAAAAAAGAATTTTGTTGTCCACATACATACATACTCTCGAAAAACATAACCCTCCTTCTGAGGCAGTCGGGTAAAAACATAAGTCGTCTCGAATCTATTATTGAATTCAAACCACGCTTACAATAGACAATGCAATAACTCTAGGTCATCCATATTGCCGGCCGGATGACAGGATATGACGTCACGACGCGTCAATACGTCATTGTTACGCTGATACGGTCAGTGACCCCACAGGTCTACTGCTCGACCAACCAAACTAGACGACTGTCAAATGAAAAATATGTCTGAATGTATTTCAAAATTCAAAATTCAATAATTTATTTCTCAGTAGGAATATACAAGATTCTCTTTAAGAAAGTCACATTCTAATTCAAACTTAAAAAAGAGAAAATTTCTAATGCAAAAAATTTCTCTTTTTTATTACATTGATCTGAAGCATTATTCGCAATAACTCTAGGTCAGCCATGTTGCCGGCCGGATGACAGGATATGACGTCACGACGCGTCAATACGTCATTGTTGCGCCGATATGGTCAGTGACCCCGCAGGTCTAGCGATTACTCGACCAACCAAACTAGACGACTGCCAAACGAAAAATCTCTGTCTGGATGTATTAATTGATATTTTGCCATCATGAAGCATATTATTATAATACATCCCTTACGGTGGGACGTTTCCTATACAAAAGTTAAATCGAGTCCTGTGTTCACTTATATGTATAACACTAGCGCTGCTACTTATCTGTTTTACCGTAGAAATTCGCTCGTTGCCCAAATTAAATGTTTGTCAGATGCACCTAAATCGATGGTCTAGAATCGTCTCTGACCATTGGGTACCTCAAGGTGGGTCCCGGCGCCGAGGTAGACCCCGAAAACGATGGCGTGACGATCTCGATGCCTATCACAAAGAGTAGACCGAGTTGGCTTAGGACCAAAAGAAGTGGAAGACCGCAGGGGAGGCCTTTGCTCAGCATTGGAATCTGGTAGGCTAGATATAAAATAATAGTCAGTATAACGCGACGTTTCACCTTAAAATATATTCAATATATTTTCCTCTTCCTGCTCACCTGGGGTAACTAAGGTGCAATGAACTCTGACCCGTAACTATGATGAGTAACACTAATATTTAAGGCGCGGTCGCACCCCAACATAGCCGCGCCTTAAATCGATACCACCCTCGTCTATTGGGAAATGCAAGGGATAGTTAAAAGTTTAAAATGACCAGGGCCCCGAGTCTGCTATTTTTAGCCATTGTCATATTTGAAATGTTAACAGCCGATGTGAAGTAGTGGTTACTACGACTGCCTGCGACGCAGAAGGTTCCGGGTTCAATTCCCGGTGGGGTCACTCACAAAGTTGATATTTATCACTTTGTGAATTTGTTCCCAGTCTGGTTAGGACATTGCAGGCTGAACCACCTGATTTTCCAAAAAACAGGATCTGCACCGTGTAGCGGGTGTACTTTTTTAAATTACGACTTTTTGATTCTTCAGATATCGCAAAAGTCAGATCTTTAGCCTAAATTAATCTGCCCATCATTATGGCAGTTATTTAAAGGTTAGGATGACTTATAAAGACCTCAATTGAACAGCTTTCTTCACCTCCACAAATGTCATCAGGTCATCTTGATCACCAACTACGTTCTCACCAATCATTATTTAAAAAAGCGTTTTTGTGATTTAGCCGACTTTAAAGGGCAGAACACACCGCCTCCGTATGCAGGACGTATGCGTACACGCGCGTACCGGTTGCAACGTATGGAATTGTATGAGAGGCGGCACACTGCCTGCGTATTCGTGCACGTCATCACATGCGTACCGCGATGTGCCGAATCTTATACAATCCCATACATTACAGCGACATAGTTACGCGCGTGATGTCGTACATGTCACGCATACGGAGGCGGTGTGTAAAACTATCTCAAGCCGGCTAGTAGTTGAGTGTCAACAGCGTTTGGTGCGGGCACGAATAGATGCGAATTCCCATAAGACCTCGTATTACCCATATAGGACTTTCCTGAGCATTTCCATCAGCGCCACCTACTACGAACTAAACGAACAAATAAATATTTCCCATACTCTTTTTTGTGATGGAGTCGGTTGGCAGATATTTAGTGAACCACGTCAAGTATCTTGGTCGTGAGAATGAACGTTTGTCGTGTGCGCCTGCACATACTAATCATTTTCAGTGCGGTAGAGGCATTGTAATGAACTTAGTGGCACTATCGATAGCAATATACTGTTTTTTGCAGGCAATAATGGTACGTTTATATTTAACGCAGACGCAGATACGTTCATATATTTGACGATTAATTTTGCGTCACTTTGAAAACGCTTGTAGGGTTTCGGAGTCTCCAACAAACCCTGAATCTTAGATGAATGCCAAAAGCAAGCAATTGATCTGTGTAGATCGTAAAAACAAATTATTAACGTCCAATTTCTATGTCCTTCCAGTTGCACAGTGGTCCTGTACAACGTCCGCAAGAACCGTCAATCTCATGTCCTCAACGCTTCAAGGAAGAGCGTTACTTGTGTGGCCTTCTCACCAGATGGGAGATACTTGGCGACAGGAGAATGTGGTCATGCTCCCGCAGTCAGAGTCTGGGATTTGCAGGTAAGAAAATATAGTGTGGCGCGCTCCTCATTGAATCCTAAAACGCGGTATCGAAGTGTTTCCGCCGATCGCAATATAATAAAGTTTTCAAATAGTAAGACGTTACTTGTGTAGAGTTTTCGCGACGAGGCAGTGTGGTCTGGTCAGGTCTCATGCCCGGCCCGTCATAGTCTGGGACCTTCAGGTGAGGAAATATATTGTGTGTGGCAACGCAAGTCCTGAAATATGGTATCAAAGCAACTATACAACTCCCGAGCATGTCCTCAACGCGCCAAGAAAAAGCGTCACCTGTGTCGCATTTTCGCCTTTCTAGTACTTTCTGACCTCTGTCTCCTTAATTATGGTTTTCTTACAACATTCGAGCCGCAAGCAATAAGTCGGATTTTCTCAATAATAGAATGATTCAGTTAATTTCATATCGTTGCTAGAAATATTTTCATCAAATATCTTACATCTTATATTGACGATATGTTTCCTTTATCTTCCAGGATCCGACGGCGTCGGGCGCAGTGCAGATCGCGGAGTTCCCAGGACACACACATGGAGTCAACTGTGTGGTGAGTTCAGACTACAAATTAGAACCTCTGAGTAGAAACACTGGGTTTTCTTTTGGTTGAACCTGATACTGAGAAAGGTACCCCAAATGGGAACACTGAATCGAAGAACGGCACGAAACATACTAGTTTCAGAAATTTGAACGCCCCACAAAATTTACTTGAAAGCTTCTGACATAGTTTTGGAATTTGAACGCCCTAGAGATACTTTTTAGCTTCTGACATAGATGTGTACCTAAACGACCACAATCTAAGTGTGTAATCATCTAAGTAGACAGCAACTGTGATCGACGGCCTAACGAGTCCTCGAAGCACGGAGCCATAATTATGTAATGAAAGACTCATGTTTTTGTTTTTTTGTTATTCCAGTCGTTCTCAACATCATCCAAGTACCTGGTGTCGGTCGGTTCCCAACATGACATGATAGTCAACGTCTGGGACTGGAGAGCTAACCTCAAACTAGCCAGCAATAAGGTGAGAACAGCATCACCCCACTAGACTAGCATCACCCCACATCCAGTGGTTCCCAACATGACATGATAGTCAACGTCTGGGACTGGAGAGCTAACCTCAAACTAGCCAGCAATAAGGTGAGAACAGCATCACCCCACTAGACTAGCATCACCCCACATCACAACATGACATGATAGTCAACGTCTGGGACTGGAGAGCTAACCTCAAACTAGCCAGCAATAAGGTGAGAACAGCATCACCCCACTAGACTAGCATCACCCCACGTCCAGTGGTTCCCAACATGACATGATAGTCAACGTCTGGGACTGGAGAGCCAACCTCAAACTAGCCAGCAATAAGGTGAGAACAGCATCACCCCACTAATATAGCATCACCCCACATCCAGTGGTTCCCAACATGACATGATAGTCAACGTCTGGGACTGGAGAGCTAACCTCAAACTAGCCAGCAATAAGGTGAGAACAGCATCACCCCACTAGATTAGCATCACCCCATATACAGTGGTTCCCAACATGACATGATAGTCAACGTCTGGGACTGGAGAGCTAACCTCAAACTAGCCAGCAATAAGGTGAGAACAGCATCACCCCACTAGATTAGCATCACCCCATATACAGTGGTTCCCAACATGACATGATATAGCATCACCCCACATCCGGTGGTTCCCAACACGACATGATATAGCATCACCCCACATCCAGTGGTTCCCAACATGACATGATAGTCAACGTCTGGGACTGGAGAGCTAACCTCAAACTAGCCAGCAATAAGGTGAGAACAGCATCACCCCACTAGAGTAGCATCACCCCACATCCAGTGGTTCCCAACATGACATGATAGTCAACGTCTGGGACTGGAGGGCTAACCTCAAACTAGCCAGCAATAAGGTGAGAAGATACATTTGTTCTTTATTTTTACCCGACTTCCCCAGAAGGAGGGTTATGTTTTTCGAGAGTATGTAGGTATGTATGTATGTATGTATGTATGTATGTATGTCGACAAGAAAATTCTTTTTCACGGGCTACAGCCCAAACGGATAGTTGGATTTTGACATATGAGGTGTCGTTAGATTCGTCTCAGTATCGCGAGTGACACTGGCAATATTAAAAATTCATAAATTCAAGATGGCGGATTTTTATCGCAAAATACGACTTTGTAATTACCGCCGTCGGGTTTTTGTTTTTAATACCTACATCAGCTTGTTCTAGAGAAAGCTTAGGCACTAACTCTACAGTTAAGACATAAGACATGAGAAACCGTTTCCATATAAAATGTATGAAACAGAAGAGACGCCGTCTACATACGTGAGACGCGCGTCGCATCGATGTCGGCCGACTTGTCTGACAGATGTCATCTTATGTCTCGCGTCACACGTCTCATCTGTGAAGATAAAGATAGCCCCTTAGGTTGCCACATTAAATTAGAATATCAACATTAAAAAAAAACTCGTCATTTTCAAAAAGTTATTATTATTTAATTCTACCTACTTGACCATTTACAATACTTATTTCACATGATTTCACAAAGTACCAAATACAGGCGGAAAGTAGGTAGTATCGAAACTTTTTTGAGACATTAGCAAAAAATAAGTTAAAAAGAAAAGTAAAACTGTTTATTTTTAATCCGTAAAAGGCTAGCTGTCAAAACTTCCGTCTGATGTGGCCAGTCATTTGTTAAATGGGAATACACTCTCAATAAATATTTGTATTTTTTTTTCTTTGCGTTAGGGGCAAAGGGGGTAAATTCTGTATTTTGTAAGTTTTGTAATAGCATCACCCCATATCTTTTTTGTGGGTGTAGTAAGAAGCGACTAAGGGATTTGAGAGTTGATGTGCATTGCAATTTTAAGCGAAAGGCTGACAACCTGTCTCTATTTGTCAGACGTGGTGTTACGTAGACGTTTTACGGCCGCTCACGCTCTGCGTACCCCGCAAGGGAAATAGGTGTGATATAGTTATACCGGGAGTAACAGAAAGGGTATAACAAGCCGAAAGGAGGTCAAGGTACTCATGAAACTGAACAACTTTCCCCATGGAACATGGGTCGAAAAACGAAAAAATATATGGACCTCTCATAGTCAATCAATAAGCTGATCGGCGATTTTGTATGGGAGGTCCAAATTTTTTTTTCATATTTCGAGCCATGTTCCATAGGGAAAGTTGTTCAGTTTCATGAGTACCTTAACCTCCTTTCGGCTTGTTATACCCTTTCTGTTACTCCCGGTATATGTATCGTTTTGTATTTTATGAACGGAAAGGCGTGTTGCTTGGAGTTTTTTTTTTATTTATGTCTGTATTAATAACCAATTTCTTTTTTCTTTCAGGTCTCATCGAGAGTGAAAGCCATAAGTTTCTCGGAAAGCGGGAACTACTTCGTGACAGTTGGTTTTAGACACGTCAAGTTCTGGTATCTCGAGTACTCTAGGAATGCTAAGGTACGTTTATTTTAATTGTTGATTTTCATTAAGGATACCTTCTTATCTGCATCGTTTCTGTTTAAACATCTTCAAACTAACCATTGGAGCCTAACCAAGGTTCCTACATTGTATTCGGCTATTTATTTGCCTGTACGGACAAAATGCAAGACGTCCGGGTTTTTAACCCTAGGCCAAAAAAGCTTGGTTTTTACACTTTTTATCTCAGGTTTTTAGGTATTGAAAGAATCATGGTGTCGATTTTAACCAAAGACATATTTTAACAAATTCTGAT